CTCCCAGAATTCCCCAGCCAGCTGGCTGGGGAATTCTGGGAGCTGAAGTCCACCCATCTTCAAGATGCCAAGGTTGAGAAACACTGCTGTAGAATATAATAAGAGAATCTCTGAAAGCCATTTCTCTCTACTCCATCTTACCCCAAACAAAATCAAGGTGGGCTTATTTTGAGTTGCTTTCTCATCCTCTTTTCCCAGGACTTTTCTGAAACACCTCCCTTCACCTTTTTTTTTTCATCCCTTCCCCATTCCGAGGGCAAGGCTGGCCTTCCCTCAGACCACCATCCCTCACAGAGCCGTGGTTGGGGGTTACAAAAGGCAGAAGGGGTGTGACGCCCCCCGTTTTGAGCTCCTGGAGAAAAGGCAGGATAAACTTCTGAAAAATGAAGGTAAGCATTTGTTCTTATGGAGAGCAGAAAAGGCACACATACCATTCATGCAGCTAATTCCTTTTTAGCTTAGGTCAGCTAAACCGTTAAGAGGTATGCCAGGGAACAAACACTCTATTGCTGAAAACTGCACAAGGAACAGAGTCATGATTCCTTGTTTTTGAGCCTGAATCACAGCTTTTGGCTGTGTGTATGTGTGTGTGTGTGTGTCTTGGCTCTCCCCCCCCCCATCCCCCACAAGTTGTTGCACTTACTTCTATCTTTGGAAGACTTGGCAATGGCCTCCTACGCCTTATTTTATTTTCCTCCTCAAATTAGTAATTATGTGCTGTTGCCTTTGTCAGACTTGGCCCTGCAATCCCTTTTTTTAATTGTTTCTGCAAAAATAAATTCTTGGTTTATGTCTCTCGTTCCATCCATGGTTCCTCTACTGACATTTGTTTAGACTATTTTGCTAGGATGCATATTTGCAAGGTTTTTAAAAAAGTAATTAAAAGCATTGCATCAGTAGAAACATGTAATAACAAAACTGGCATTGTAGTTGGTCAATGCTAAGTTATTGCAGATTTGGCTTGGATTGAACTACACACAGTGCCATCAAGTGACTAATTATTGGTTCTGGCTTAGTTTATGTTTTTGTTCATGAAACCACCATTGACTGGGTTCACAAATTGTGCTAAAACCCTGGTTTACAAGCCATAATGCTTTCTGGATGATGCCTTCCCAGATCTATTGAACTTCAACTCCCAGAATTCCCAGGGACAGAACTGCAAGGCACCAG